TTTTTTTAAGTAGTTTGAAAGAGTATGGGGAACCAACTGTGTCCAGTTTTTGAAGTGGTTTGAAAGAATCTCGGGGAGCTCTTATGCTTGGTTTTTGAAGTAGTTGGAAAAAATCTGTGTGACCCCTTTTGTTTTGTCTTTGAAGTACATAGCTCGAAAGAATCTCGGGGCTTTCTTATATCTGGTTTTTGAAATGGTTTGAAAAAATCTCAAGGACCTCTTTTGTTTTGTTTTTCAAGTAAGAATCCCCTGGACTCCTTATGTCCGGTTTCTGAAATGGTGTGAAAGAATCTTCGGAATTCTTTTTAATTTGTTTTTGAAGTAGTCTGAAAGAGTCCTTCGGGTTCTCTGAAATAGTCTGAAAGAATCTCGGGGACCACCAAGAATCTCCGGGACCTCTTTTGTTTTGTTTTTAAAGTAGTTTGAAAGAATCCAGGACAACTTTTGATTTGTTTTCGAAGTAGTTGCGGACAACTTGTGTCCGGTTTCTGAAGTGGTTTGAAAAGATCGAGTTTCCTTTTGATTTGTTTTTGAAGTAGTTTGAAGAAATTTGGGGGACCCCTGAAGTAATTTAGAAGAACCTCGGGGACCCCTAAAAATCTCCGGGATCCCATTTGTTTAGTTTTGGAAGTAGTTTAAAAGAATCTCCAGGACTCCTTTTTTTTTAAGTAGTTTGAAAGAGTATGGGGAACCAACTGTGTCCGGTTTTTGAAGTGGTTTGAAAGAATCTCGGGGAGCTCTTATGCTTGGTTTTTAAGTAGTTGGAAAGAATCTCTGTGACCCCTTTTGTTTTGTCTTTGAAGTACATAGCTCGAAAGAATCTCGGGGCTTTCTTATATCTGGTTTTTGAAATGGTTTGAATAAATCTCAAGAACCTCTTTTGTTTTGTTTTTCAAGTAAGAATCCCCTGGACTCCTTATGTCCGGTTTCTGAAATGGTGTGAAAGAATCTTCGGAATTCTTTTTAATTTGTTTTTGAAGTAGTCTGAAAGAGTCCTTCGGGTCCCCTGAAATAGTCTGAAAGAATCTCGGGGACCACCAAGAATCTCCGGGACCTCTTTTGTTTTATTTTCAAAGTAGTTTGAAAGAATCCAGGACACCTTTTGATTTGTTTTCGAAGTAGTTGGGGACAACTTGTGTCCGGGGTCTGAAGTGGTTTTTTCCTTTTGATTTGTTTTTGAAGTAGTTTGAAAGAATTTAGAGAACCCCTGAAGTAATTTTGAAGAACCTCGGGGATCTCAAATAATCTCCGGGACCCCTTGCATTTGGTGTTTGAACTGGTTTGAAAGAATCTCGGGGCTCTCTTATATCTGGTTCTTGAAATATTTTGAAAGACTCTCGACGACCACTTTTGTTTTGTTTTTGAAGTGGTCTGAAAGAATTCTTCGGGTCCCCAGACATAGTTTGAAAAAATCTCGGGGACCACCAAGAATCTCCTGGACCCCTTGTGTTTTATTTTTGAAGTGGTTTGAAAGAATCTCGGACACCTTTTTTGTTTGTTTTTGAAGTGGTTTTAAAGAATCTCGGGAACCATTGTGTCCGGTTTTTGAAGTAGTTTGAAAGAATCTTTGGGATCCCTTTTGTTTTGTTTTTGAAGTAGTCTGAAAGAATCTTGGGGACTCTTTCTGTTCGGTTTCTGAAATGCTTTAAAAGAATCTCCGTGATTCCTCCTGATTTATTTTTGAAGGAGTCTAAAAGAATCCTTGGGGAGCCCTGAATTAGTTCCAAAAAATTTCGAGGATCTCAAAGAATCTCCGGGATCCCTTTTTTTGGTTTTTGGAGTGGTTTGAAAGAATCTCGGGGACCCTTGTGTTTTGATTTTGAGCAGTTTGAAAGAATCTCGGGGCTCTCTTATATCTGGTTTTTGAAATAGTTTGAAAGACTCTCGACGACCTCTTTTGTTTTGTTTTTGAAGTAGTCTGAAAGAATCCTTCGGGTCCCCTGAAATAGTTTGAAAGAATCTCGGGGAGCACCAAAATTCTCCGAGACCCCTTTTGTTTTATTTTTGAAGTGGTTTGAAAGAATCTCGGACACTTTTTTTGTTTGTTTTTGAAGTAGTTTAAAAGAATCTCGGGAACCATTGTGCCCGGTTTTTGAAGTAGTTTGAAAGAATCTTTGGGATCCCTTTTGTTTTGGTTTTTAAGTAGTCTGAAAGAATCTTGGGGACTCCTCTGTTCGGTTTCTGAAATGGTTTAAAAGAATCTCCGTGATCCCTCCTGATTTATTTTTGAAGGAGTCTAAAAGAATCCTTGGGGAGCCCTGAATTAGTTCCAAAAAATTTCGAAAATCTCAAAGAATCTCCGGGATCCCTTTTGTTTGGTTTTTGGAGTGGTTTGAAAGAATCTCGGGGACCCTTGTGTTTTGATTTTGAGCAGTTTGAAAGAATCTCGAGGATTCCTTGCATTTGGTGTTTGAAGGGGTTTGAAAGAATCTCGGGGCTCTCTAATATCTGGTTTTTGAAATAATTTGAAAGACTCTCGACGACCTCTTTTGTTTTGTTTTTGAAGTAGTCTGAAAGAATCTTTCGGGTCCCCTGAAATAGTTTGAAAGAATCTCGGGGAGCACCAAAATTCTCCGGGACCCCTTTTGTTTTATTTTTGAAGTGGTTTGAAAGAATCTCGGACACTTTTTTTGTTTGTTTTTGAAGTAGTTTAAAAGAATCTCGGGAACCATTGTGCCCGGTTTTTGAAGTAGTTTGAAAGAATCTTTGGGATCCCTTTTGTTTTGGTTTTGAAGTAGTCTGAAAGAATCTTGGGGACTCCTTCTGTTCGGTTTCTGAAATGGTTTAAAAGAATCTCCGTGATTCCTTCTGATTTATTTTTGAAGGAGTCTAAAATAATCCTTGGGGAGCCCTGAATTAGTTCCAAAAAATTTCGAAAATCTCAAAGAATCTCCGGGATCCCTTTTGTTTGGTTTTTGGAGTGGTTTGAAAGAATCTCGGGGACCCTAGTGTTTTGATTTTGAGCAGTTCGAAAGAATCTCGAGGATTCCTTGCATTTGGTGTTTGAAGGGGTTTGAAAGAATCTCGGGGCTCTCTAATATCTGGTTTTTGAAATAGTTTGAAAGACTCTCGACGACCTCTTTTGTTTTGTTTTTGAAGTAGTCTGAAAGAATCCTTCGGGTCCCCTGAAGTAGTTTGAAAGAATCTCGGGGAGCACCAAAAATCTCCGGGACCCCTTTTGTTTTATTTTTGAAATGGTTTGAAAGAATCTCGGACACTTTTTTTGTTTGTTTTTGAAGTAGTTTAAAAGAATCTCGGGAACCATTGTGCCCGGTTTTTGAAGTAGTTTGAAAGAATCTTTGGGATCCCTTTTGTTTTGGTTTTGAAGTAGTCTGAAAGAATCTTGGGGACTCCTTCTGTTCGGTTTCTGAAATGGTTTAAAAGAATCTCCGTGATTCCTCCTGATTTATTTTTGAATAAGTCTAAAAGAATCCTTGGGGAGCCCTGAATTAGTTCCAAAAAATTTCGAAAATCTCAAAGAATCTCCGGGATCCCTTTTGTTTGGTTTTTGGAGTGGTTTGAAAGAATCTCGGAGACCGTTGTGTTTTGATTTTGAGCAGTTTGAAAGAATCTCGAGGATTCCTTGCATTTGGTGTTTGAAGGGGTTTGAAAGAATCTCGGGGCTCTCTAATATCTGGTTTTTGAAATAGTTTGAAAGACTCTCGACGACCTCTTTTGTTTTGTTTTTGAAGTAGTCTGAAAGAATCCTTCGGGTCCCCTGAAGTAGTTTGAAAGAATCTCGGGGAGCACCAAAAATCTCCGGGACCCCTTTTGTTTTATTTTTGAAATGGTTTGAAAGAATCTCGGACACTTTTTTTGTTTGTTTTTGAAGTAGTTTAAAAGAATCTCGGGAACCATTGTGCCCGGTTTTTGAAGTAGTTTGAAAGAATCTTTGGGATCCCTTTTGTTTTGGTTTTTAAGTAGTCTGAAAGAATCTTGGGGACTCCTTCTGTTCGGTTTCTGAAATGGTTTAAAAAAATCTCCGTGATTCCTTCCGATTTATTTTTGAAGTAGTCTTAGAGAATCCTTGTGGAGCCTTGAAGTAGTTTTAAAAAATCTCGTGGATCTCAAACAACCTCTGGGACCCCTTTTGTTTTGTTTTTGAAGTAGTTTGAAACAATATCGGCGACCCTTTATGTCTGGTTTTTGAAGTGGTTTGAAAGAATCTCGGGGGCCCTGGTGTTCTGTTTTTGAAGTAGTTTGAAAGAATCTCGGGGACTTTTTTTTGTTTTAGGAGTAATTTGAAAGAATCTCCGTGACCGCTTTTGTATTTTCTTTGAAGTAATTCGAAACAATCCCAGGGATCCCTTGTACCTGGTTTTTTAAGCGGTTTGAAATAATCTCTAGAGTTATTGCGCCTGGTTTTTAAAATAGTTTGAAAGAATCTTAGGTATCCGGTTTCTGAAATGGTTGGAAAGAATCTCCGAAATTCTTGCTGAGACTGGCGTAGAGACAACCAGCAACATCAAAATTTTTGTCGCACCTTCCCAATATTAAATAGCATGTCTGTTTTTTTAGAATTCGAAAACATTTTAAAGCAAACGAAAATTGAAAATATTTGGCTAACAGAAATAATTTGTCATAATTTTGGTTTTGATCATTGCTATCTATGCGTTCATTATTATTTAAAAATAAAAATTAATCAAAGCTGTTTAGAAACGTAAAATGGGTTGCCTATGCTGAAATATTCAGGCGTGAACAGATAAAATGAACACCTGTATAAAATGTATATTTATCCGAAGAAAGAGCATTGAATTTTATTCAGATTCTTAAAAAATCTATCACTCAGTTAATCGCCTTAAACCAGTGGCGCGCAACAATTTTTGAGTAAAATTTCAACGATTTTTGTTATGAACTTGCGTTGTTTATTGCGTATTGATTTTATTCCACTCTTTCTACATCTCCGCGCTTGTTTGGTTGCCTATATGCTTCGCGTTCTCCCGCCATCTTGCGGCATTTTCACTCACACAAGTTGTAATATAAAATTATAAATATTTCAGACAAATCCACCGACAACGAAGCCGTCTCCGACTGCGAGAGCGAGCCCGGGATCCCCCTCAAGCGCAAACAGCGCCGCTCCCGCACCACCTTCACCGCCCACCAGCTCGACGAGCTCGAAAAGGCCTTCGAACGTACCCAGTACCCCGACATCTACACCCGCGAGGAGCTCGCCCAAAGAACCAAACTAACCGAAGCCCGAATCCAGGTCTGGTTCAGCAACCGGCGGGCCCGCCTCCGCAAACAAATCACGTCGGCGGCGACGCCCCTGGTCCGCAGCTACGTGACGGTGCCGAACGCCGCCGACCGCTACCCCCCTCTGGGCCAACCCATGAACGAAGACGCCTTCAATTCGGTCGCCACGCCGACGCCGACAGGTGAATCCCCCATTTGTGGCGCCATTTTCGTTACTAATTTTTCGTTGGGTTGGTAGTCATGACGGAGCTGTACCCCAGCCCCGTCCCGGGACATTCCACGCCGCCGAATCTGCCGCTGGCGCACAACATCGCCCATAACCCATATCCGTCCCATCCGATCTACCAGTCGTCGAATATCATGCAGATTCCGCAGACGATGGCGCCACCGACCACTCTGTCCAATATTCAACCCAGCTCACCGCTGAGTAACATCCAGAACTTAAGTCAGAGCGGGATGACCAGTTACAACAAGGATAATAATGATAACAACGTTTCGAACTCGAATGGGAGTCAGCATCAGGGATACGCCACCAACACGACGGGAATGGTCACCATTTTAGGACCCAACAGCGGTAATTTTACAATTCCATCTGTTCGGTGAACGCACTATACTTTTTTTGTAACTTTGTAGGCAACAGCAACAGCAACGAGACACCCTGTGCTACGGAAAACTCCACCCCCAACAACCTCCAGTGGGGGATGCCCCCATCGCAAATAACCAGGAACCCCAGCCCCAGCCAGAACATCCCCACGAGTCTGGGCCAAATCGGGCAACCCTTGAGCCAAAGTTTCAGTGCTTTTGGACAGAACAGTATTGACAATTCGGGACTGCACTATTCCACGCACAATTCGCCCAAAAGTTTCGGACACCAACCATACTACGGGTGGTTCTGATCCGCGGTGATTTTCTAAAGTGTATACCAAAAATTGTGAATTTACTCTGATCGTGTTTGTTTGGTGTACGTTTTTGTTTTATTTTTTTTTGCACTGTGTTGACGGGCAATCGGGAATCGACCAAATGGTTTGCGACGAAATGAATCACATAATCCACCGTAAATTATTTAATTTTAAGTAATATATGGAGTTTACTTTTTAGGTTATTTTTCATGTTATGTTATTATGTTCGCATTTCTTTGTATTATATTGTGAATAAATTTTAACTCGAACTTTGCGTATTTGTACACGTGTGCAACTCCTCCAGGATAACAAAATAAACCGGGATTATAATTTTGACACGATGACGACTGGGTGGGTGGGTGGGGTAGACATTTGAGAGATTTTGGAGATTCTAGAAAATCTAGATGTCTAGAGTTCTAGGGATTATAGGCATCTAGGGTTTCTAGGTATTCTAGGGAGGCAAAAGGTTTCACAGCATCTAGAGATTCTAGAAATTTCAGAGATTCCAGAGATTCAAGCGAGTGAAAAGACTAAAGAGATTCAAGAGATTTCAGTGATTTAAGAAATTCAAGAGATTCAAGATTTTCCAGAGAATCACGAGATTCCAGAAAGTCGAGAGAATCCAGATTCTACAAATTACAGAGATTCCAGAGGTTAAAGAAATTCTAAAGATTCTAGGGCTTCTGTAGTTTCTAGAGATTTTAATTGTTTTAAGCATTCTAGGGATTCGAAAATTCTAGAGTTTATAGGGCTCCTAAGTATTCCGAAGATTGAAAAAATTTCGAAGACTCCGAACGTTCCGAAGATTCTGAAGATTCTAAACATTTCGGATATTCTAAAAATTCAAAAGTCTGAAGGTTCTCAAAATTTTGAAGATTCAGAAAACTTTTAAAATTTTGGAAATTTTATAGATTAAACGGATTCTAGACATTCTAGAGATTTCGGAGATTCTAGAAAATCTAGATGTTCTAGTGTCTTAGGGATTTTAGGGATGGTGGGGATCTTGGGTTTCTAGGTATTCTAGGGAGGCCAAAGGTTTCACAGCTTCTAGAGATTCTAGAAATTTCAGAGATTCCAGAGATTCAAGCGAGTGAAGAGACTCAAGATATTCAAGAAACTTAAGAGACTCAAGAGATTTCAGTGATTTAAGAAATTCAAGAGATTCAAAATATTTCAGAGAATCACGAGATTTCAGAAAGTCGAGAGAATCCAGATTCTACAAATTCCAGAGATTCCAGAGGTTAAAGAAATTCTAAAGATTCTAGAAATTCTGTTGTTTCTAGAGATTTTAATTGTTTTGTTTTTAGCATTCTAAGGATTCGAAAATTCTAAAGTTTATAAAGATCCTAAATATTCCGAAGTTTCAAAAAATTTCGATGACTCCGAACGTTCCGAAGACTGAACATTATAAACATTTCGGATATTCTAAAAATTCAAAAGTCTGAAGGTTCTAAAAATTTTGAAAATTCAGAAAACTTTTAAAATTTTGGGGATTTTATAGATTATACAAATTCTAGACATTTTGGAGATTTCGGAGATTCTAGAAATTCTAGATGTTCTACATAGTGTTCTGGGGATTTTAGGGATTATAGGGATCTAGGGTTTCTAGGTGTTCTAGGAAGCCCAAAGATTTCACAGCTCCTAGAGATTCTAGAAATTCCAGAGATTCCAGAGATTCAAGCGAGTGAAGAGACTAAAGAGATTCAAGAAACTTAAGAGACTCAAGAGATTTCAGTGATTTAAGAAATTCAAGAGATTCAAGATATTCCAGAGAATCACGAGATTCCAGAAAGTCGAGAGAATCCAGATTCTACAAATTCAAGAAATTCCAGAGGTTAAAGAAATTCTAAAGATTCTAGAGATTCTGTGGTTTCTAGAGGGTTTAATTGTTTTAAGCATTCTGAGGATTCGAAAATTCTGAAGTTTATACAGATCCTAAGTATTCCGAAGATTCCAAAAATTTCGAAGAATCCGAACGTTCCGAAGATTCTGAAGATTCTAAACATTTCGAATATTCTAAAAATTCATAAGTCTGAAGATTCTCAAAATTTTGGAGATTCAGAAAACTTTTAAAATTTTGGAAATTTTATAGATTATATAGATTCTAGACATTCTAGAGATTTCGGAGGTTCTAGAAATTCTAGTGTCCTAGGGATTTTAGGGATGGTAGGGATCTAGGGTTTCTAGGTTTTCTAGGGAGACCAAAGATTTCACAGCTTCTAGAGATTCTAGAAATTTCAGAGATTCCAGAGATTCAAGCGAGTGAAGAGACTCAAAAGATTCAAGAAATTGAGAGACTCAAGAGATTTCAGTGAGTTAAGAAATTCGAGAGATTCAAGATATTCCAGAGAATCACGAGATTAAAGAAAGTCGAGAGAATCCAGATTCTACAAATTACAGAGATTCCAGAGGTTAAAGAAATTCTAAAGATTCTAGGGATTCTGTAGTTTCTAGAGATTTTAATTGTTTTAAGCATTCTAGGGATTCGAAAATTCTAGAGTTTATAGGGCTCCTAAGTATTCCGAAGATTCCAAAAATTTCGAAGACTCCGAACGTTCCGCAGATTGTGAAGACTCTAAACATTTCGGATGTTCTTAAAATTCCAAGGTCTGAAGGTTCACAAAATTTTGAAGATTTAGAAAACTTTTAAAATTTTGGAGATTTTATAGGTTGTACAGATTCTAGACATTCTAGAGATTTCGGAGATTCTAGATGTTCTAGTGTACTAGGGATTTTAAGGATGGTAGGGATCTGGGGGTCTAGGTTTTCTAGGGAGACCAAAGATTTTACAGCTTCTAGAGATTCTAGAAATTCCAGAGATTCCAGAGATTCAAGCGAGTGACGAGACTCAAGAGATTCAACAAACTTAAGAGACTCAAGAGATTTCAGTGATTTAAGAAATTCAAGAGATTCAAGATATTCCAGAGAATCAGGAGATTCCAGAAAGTCGAGAGAATCCAGATTCTACAAATTACAAGATTCCAGAGGTTAAAGAAATTCTAAAGATTCTAGAGATTCTGTAGTTTCTAAAGATTTTAATTGTTTTAAGCATTCTAAGGATTCGAAAATTCAAAAGTTTATAAAGATCCTAAGTATTCCGAAGATTCCAAAAATTTCGAAGACTCCGAACATTCCGAAGATTCTGAAAATTCTAAACATTTCGGATATTCTAAAAGTTCAAAAGTCTGAAGGTTCTCAAAATTTTGAAAATTCAGAAAACTTTTAAAATTTTGGAGATTTTATAGATTATACAGATTCTAGACATTTTGGAGATTTCCGAGATTCTATAAATTCTAAATGTTCTAGTGTCCCAGGGGATTTTAGGGATTATAGGGACCTAGGGTTTCTAGGTTTTCTAGGGAGACCAAAGATTTCACAGCTTCTAGAGATTCTAGAAATTTCAGAGATTCCAGAGATTCAAGCGAGTGAAGAGACTCAAGAGATTCAAGAAACTTAAGAGACTCAAAAGATTTCAGTGATTTAAGAAATTCAAGAGATTCAAGATATTCCAGAGAATCACGAGATTTCAGAAAGTCGAGAGAATCCGGATTCTACAATTTCCAGAGATTCCTGAGGTTAAAGAAATTCTAAATATTCTAGAGATTCCGTAGTTTCTAGAGATTTTAATTGTTTTAAGCATTCTAAGAATTCGAAAATTCTAAAATTTATAAAGATCCTAAGCATTTCGAAGATTCCAAAAATTTCGAAGACTCCGAACGTTCCGAACATTCTGAAGATTCTAAACATTTCTGATATTCTAAGAATTCAAAAGTCTGAAGGTTCTCAAAATTTCGAAGTTTCAGAAAACTTTTAAAATTTTGGAGATTTTATAGATTATACAGATTCTAGACATTTTGGAGATTTCGGAGGTTCCAGAGATTCTAGATGTTCTAGTGTCCTAGGGAATTTAGGGATGGTAGGGATCTAGGCTTTCTAGGTATTCTAGGGAAACCAAAGATTTCACAGCTTCTAGAGATTCCACAAATTCCAGAGATTCAAGCGAGTGAAGAGACTCAAGAGATTCAAGAAACTTAAGAGACTCAAGAGCTTTCAGTGATTTAAGAAATTCAAGAGATTCAAGATATTCCAGAGAATCACGAGATTCCAGAAAGTCGAGAGGATCCAGATTCTACAAATTCCAGAGATTCCAATGGTTAAAGAAATTCTAAAGATTCTATAGATTCTGTAGTTTCTAGAGATTTTAATTGTTTTAAGCATTCTGAGGATTCGAAAATTCTGAAGTTTATACAGATCCTAAGTATTCCGAAGATTCCAAAAATTTCGAAGAATCCGAACGTTCCGAAGATTCTGAAGATTCTAAACATTTCGGAAATTCCAAAAATTCAAAAGTCTGAAGGTTCTCAAAATTTTGAAGATTCAGAAAACTTTTAAAATTTTGGAGATTTTATAGATTATACAGATTGCAGACATTCTAGAGATCTTGGAGATTCTAGATATTCTAGATGTTCTGGTGTCCTAGGGATTTTAGGGATGGTAGGGATCTAGAGTTTCTAGGTATTCTAGGAAGGCCAAAGATTTCACAGCTTCTAGAGATTCTAGAAATTTTAGATATTCCAGAGATTCAAGCGAGTGAAGAGACTCAAGAGATTCAAGAAACTTAAGAGGCTCAAGAGATTTCAGTGATTTAAGAAATTCAAGCGATTCAAGATATTTCCGAGAATCACGAGATTCCAGAAAGTCGAGAGAATTCAGATTCTAGAAATTCCAGAGATTCCATAGGTTAAAGAAATTCTAAAGGTACTAGAGATTCTGTAGTGTCTAGAGCTTTTAATTATTTTAAGCATTCTAAGGATTCGAAAATTCTAAAGTTTATAAAGATCCTAAGTATTCCGAAGATTCCGAAAATTTCGAAGAATCCGAACGTTCCGAAGATTCTGAAGATTCTAAACATTTCGGAATTTCCAAAAATTCAAAAGTCTGAAGGTTCTCAAAATTTTGAAGATTCAGAAAACTTTTAAAATTTTGGAGATTTTATAGATTATACAGATTGTAGACATTCTAGAGATCTTGGAGATTCTAGATGTTCTGGTGTCCTAGGGATTTTAGGGATGGTAGGGATCTAGAGTTTCTAGGTATTTTAGGAAGGCCAAAGATTTCACAGCTTCTAGAGATTCTAGAAATTTTAGATATTCCAGAGATTCAAGCGAGTGAAGAGACTCAAGAGATTCAAGAAACTTAAGAGGCTCAAGAGATTTCAGTGATT